ATTTGCCAAAACCAAGTTTTGTTGACAGATCTGGGATCTGGGTATCCGGTGCGTGCGAGGGCCTGGAGCTGGAGACTCCAAAGTGTACACGATAAATGTTTTTTTTTGTCTATGTTGGTTAAAATAAAAAAAAATATCTTAGGCCTTAGAATAGGTGTGTGTGTGACTGTGTGGGAGTGTGTCAGGAAACAATCGAACCTTTCAGGTTCTGTTGTTTCATATTAAAACAGCAGGGGTTAATACAGTACAACTCTTGTGGATGCAGATGCAAGAATTTCTCACCTGAAAAGGTAGAAGAAGAAATTACCACAACAGTGTTTGGGTGCTGTCCTGCTGAATAAACATCCAGTGCGTAGAATACCCTAGATGTTTGTACTGGACTAAATTCTTTAAAATGGGATAAGGTCAAAATAAATTAGAGATAATTTAGAATCTACGATTAGAAGTTGTAGAAGTGCAGGATCCAACAAAAAAAAAAATAATAATAATAATAATAATAATAATCACTTAAATATATAGTTTGGAAAAAAATATGGGTTTGAGGGACACCTCTATTCCAAGATAAAATAATAAGAACTAAATGATAAAATAATAGAACTAAAGTGAGTCAGGGGGGTAAAAGAATTAAAAAGGATGGGTTCAGGGAAGAGTATAGAGAAGACCATAAAGGGGATGTAAAATTTGTGTCAGATTGATCCAAGTAATTTAAAATACTTGTAGGAGTGGAAGTTAGTGTATGATACATGCACAAAGCAGATATGATGAAAACCTAAATAAATAGATCTAATGTTGCGTTTGTCTGGTTTTAATATTATGTGTTTCTGTCTTTAAAGTTATGTTTGTGGGTCTTTTAAGTTGTTTGTGTGTCCAAAAACTAATGAAACACAGTTTAGAGGGAGACAGCTTAAATCTGCATAAGCGCGCAGGGGGGATGTCGGTGGAGCGATGACTGCAGCATTGTTCTTATTGACAGCCTTCCTAATGCGTCTGCAGGGTCTCCAAAACTATAATTTCGGAACCAAAATTTAAAATTAATAAACCCACAAGAAAATGATTTTAGTCATGCAAGCTACATACAGGGAATAAAAAAAAATGTAAGGGGGTTTAAATAAGTGGATTGTGCAAGCTAAAACATAGAAACAGCTATGAAGCAAAGTTTGGACCATAACTGGGCTCAAGGGAGGGGCCGGTGGTCACAGGGGAAAAACAAGGGGTCACGTAGAAAACACAATAGGTGTTTGAGCAAATGGGGGACCAGGAAGAAAGACTCCACAGGGGAAGTCATCTGAGTGTGAATAGGTGTTTGAGCAAATTGGGGAGACATTAAAATAGTAGATGTGTATGAAGCATGGGGGATATTAAATGCATTAAAGGCAAAAACATGAATAGTTTTAACAATTATTAGACAAGCAGTTAAACCTATATGCAATTCAGGAGCCTGTAAAATTTGCATTCAAGATAATGTAGGACTAAAACCATCTAAAATGCTAGTTTTTGTACAATCAGCAAAAGGTCAAATGGAATACCTTTAAAAATAGAAAACCTTCAAACAGGAACAAGATTGCAAGGTTCTATGTTTTTGTGGTGGTATCACCAACTCACCACATTAATTTGCTAGGATGGGAATTGATGGGAAAATTAAGCAATTTTTCCCAAACAGGGGGGCATGAAGGCCGAATGTGTGGAACATATAAATAGCGTTTCAACAAAATCTACTTGTGTCTATATACACTATGCTAGAAGCACATTGTCAGATCCACTGGATGAAAGTCTGTTAGTTGAACAGTAGAAAACTTTGAATTTGTGCAAAACAGTTTCGGAAACAAGACATTACTATAATGGCTACACAAATTATGTACATAGATGGGGGTTCTTAGCAGCAGTTACTGTTATTACACACATGTAAGGAATGTACTGCTTATCATGGGTAAATCATTTGTCATTGGTTAAGACCAGTGAAGCACAGTGGAGAGACAGATGCCTGCGTTTAGAAGCTGCAGAAGGTGCATCTGATTTCTATCTATGTCCGCACCACACAAACCAGGCTGGCTATATAGCCATAACACAGAACTATGGAAGCAGCCTTATAAAATTCTGTCCAATACAGAAGCTTGGGTACAAGATTTAGCATTTGTTAAAATAACTCAGCATTCTTTGCTATCACAATTTGATGAAAATGATTTCAAAGATATTTCAAATGCATTGTGGTATACAAGAAGAATTGATGCAAGACTGTTGACAACAATAGATTTAGCTGAAATAGTTCCTAATACAGGCCAAGGATAAAACAATATCTGCTAGAATGTGAAGCAAAGGAAAGTATAAACTAGTTATACAAATTTTAGTAGGTGCAGAAATAAGTTTGTTGTTTGGGCCATGTTATTTCGGAGGAGGGGGAAAAGCTACAAGGGTATCTTTTTGGAGTTGTGCAATGACTGCAGGGCTTAGATTCCACATTATAAAAAAAAAAAAAAGAAACTCAGCTTTTCTTAAGTTTTTTTTTATGACACACTAATAGCTATGTCAGAGAAGCAGACAGCGGTTCGCGGTGCAGAATGTGGAACTTTTCTCAGCAACTGTCTTAGCTTTGTAAACTTATCAAAAACCGTGCATCCAAACAGTTGGCGGTTAAGCAAGTTATATGACCTTTGTGTTGTTACATTCTCATGGTGATACGCTCATACCTGTAGTGTCTTACTTTTAAGGGTTAAAGAGGACCCGTGTAAACAACAGTTCCCCCATATTCTTATTTTTGTTTTTATTATATTGTGTAGTTGGATGTGTGTGTATAAAGAGAAAACTGTAACTTGAGCGTGTAACAAAATTAATTTCCCTCTGGGATTATTAAACTATTTCTGATTCTGATTCTGACAAAAACCAGCAGCTATTTTGATCCATGAAATTATCATGTCTCAAACAGGGAGGAGTTATGATGAATATGGTATAGTTACACACACAAGTGTGTAACTACTACTGCTTTTAAAATTTTTGCATGTCTCACATGTTGTGAATACAATTCACAAGCAAATCAGAAAACTAAGTGAGGACAGGTGCCAAGAGGTACAGCTCAAGTTGAAATAATTAGCATGGACTACATTGAGCTGACTCCAAGTGGACAGTACAAGTACTGCCTAGTCCTAGTGAACAATTTTTCTAAATGGGTAGAAATTGTTTCCAAAAAACATGTCAATGCACTGACAGTAGCAAAAGCGTTGTGTAAACATATCATAACTGAGCATGGTATCCAAAAAATCTTACAAAGTGATAATGGAACACATTTTGTGAATGAAGTGATATCACTAATGTCTAAACATTTAAACATAACTTTGAAACATCACTGTTCCTACCATCCACAGAGTGCAGGACTAGTGGAGAGATTTCATGGAGAAACTAAAAATAGATTGAGAAAATTCATGGCAGAAACAGGAGGGCCATGGCCAGGATGTTTGCAGTTGGTGGAATTGCTCATGAGGATTGTTCCAACATCTGATGGTTTGGCCTCTTTTGAAATAGTCAATGGGAGACCTTTTTGTTCTACTTTTATGGGAAGGACAGCCATGGGCTGAAAAAGAAAAAGAACATTGACCCATTAACTCAGTGAATTCTGAAACTGTTCAAATACGGAACTGTTCAAAGAACATGTAATATGCCCAGAGCTCCTTTTTGTTTCCCCACAGGAAGGCCTGAAGCCTGGAGACCGAGAGCTGATTAAAATCATCAAAGGGAAGATTTGGGAAGCTCCGAGGTGGGAAGGACCCTACATAGTGCAACTAACAACCCCCACCACCTTGAAGATCCAGGAGAGAAACACTTGGATCCACCAGAGTCATTGTAAACTGATTCAAAAATTTTCCTCAGCAAAAAAGCCCAGTTACTTTCATAGGGACCCCACAACTAAGGTATAGATCTGTGGTGAAGTCCAGCTTCAAAGGGGTTTGGTTTTTTTAGGACCAATCGTCTCAACGCTGGTGAAGAAACCAACCTAACCCAGTCTTTTAGAGTCTGGTTAGTGGGTGTTTCCTTGGACGGACTGGCGAAGATCTGAAAAACCAAAGTGGTTTTGCTGCCCGGTGATGACTGTGACCGGTGTTCCTAGGAGCTCAAACTGACTGTCTGAAACAAAGGAAGAGCAGGATGATTTTTGATGGATCCACAGCAAGTCATTCCAAGCAGCATTCCAAGCGCGTTGCTGAAGATTTGAACTAAACAGACTGTTATGTTTGTACTCATATTCCTACTCCTATGAATACAATATGAATTGAAAGATGCTGATGTTTTTATGTATAAGAGGAGGGAAATGTTAGAGTGATAATTATAAAATTATTGTGTGGACATATGAAACATTGAAAGAAAGAAGATGCTACATTTCTATCCTGTGATTAAACCAGAAGGGTCATAAACTTTTATGACCTCCAGTAGGTCATGAGGCAGAATCACACGGTTGTGTGACTTCCATCCAGCCAGATGGTCAATTCACACTATCTTATTACCTGCATCCTCCCAGATAATCATTACTGGGTCTTCTGTTTAAGGCCCGCCCTATGATGTTGTAAACTGTTAATAAAAGGCTTTGCTATGAAGGGATCTGTGTGAGAAGGTGCTGGTTTCTGAGCCAACACCTTTTCTCTGCTTCTGCAGAGGCTGACGTCAAAAACCCTGTCTCTGTGTTGATTATTTCCTTTTAATCTTTTAAACTCACATTTCTCTGGATTAAAACCCAACACTTCTGTAGAAGGTGGTGAGGATGGGTGGGGGGCAGGTGATCTCTCCTCATCGACCGCAGGAAGTCCAAGCGCTTTTATGCCCTTTTGACCAGTGAGGTGGTGTTTACATTGCAGGTGTCTGTGATGTGCACCCTGAGGAATTTGGTGCTGTTGACCACCCCTACAACTGAGCTGTTGATGACCAGTGAAGCGTGGTTTGGCAGGTTCTTTCTGAAGTCCAAGATGATCTCCTTCGTCTTCTCCATGTTCAGGATCAGGCTGTTATCTTTTCACCAGTCCACCAGCTGCTCCACCCCCTCTCTGTAGTTCTGGTCGATGTCATCACTGATGAGGCCCACCACCGTGGTGTTGTCAGCAGACTTCACGATGTGATTGATGGTGAACCTGGGGATGCAGTCGTTTGTTATCAGGGTGAATAGTAGGGGCCCAGGACGCAGCCCTTAGGGGAGCCTGTGCTTAGGGTGATGACATCAGAGGTGTTCTGACTGACACGGCCTGACTGAGGTCTGTTTGTGAGGAAGTCTTGCAGCCAATTGCAGAGGGTTGAATTGAAGTATTGAATCCCAGCTGTTCTGGTTTCCCATCAGATGCTGTGGGATGATGATGTTGAAAGCTGAACTTAAGTCCAGAAACAGCATCAGTACAGGAGTGTTCTTCTCCTCCAGGTGCGCCAGGCTCAGGTGGAGAGCAGCAGAGTTGGCGTCCTCAGTGGAGCGGTTCTGTCGGTAGGCGAACTTGAACGGGTTGAATGTTGGTGGCAGACTGGAGACGATATGTTCTTGAACCAGCTTTTTGAAGCACATCATCATGATGAGAGTCAGTGCTACAGGCCAGTAATCATTTAATGAGGTGACCTGAGGCTTCTTTGGGGCTGGAATAATGATGGCAGACTTTAAGCGTATTGGCACAACAGATTGGTCCAGCGAGGTGTTAAAAATGTCTGTGAGGACACCAGCCAGCTGATCTGCACACTCCCTATACACCCGCCTTGGTATGTTATCAGGCCCTGGGGCCTTCCATGGGTTCACCCTTCTCAAAGTTTTCCTCACCTGATGGAATACTTTTCTACCATGTTAACCTAATTTATAGAGAGCTATATATAGCAATGAGAGCTATATATAGCTCTCTATAAATATAGAGCCAAGCTATTTTTTGCTATGCTCCGGTCCTGTCAGGTCAATATTCGCAATTGCAATCACACCAAACAGGAAAATGAACGGCGAGTAGATCCTGTTTGTCAAATTAAAACATAATAACTATGGATTGGTAACTACAAATTAGAGTATAATTCTTATATATTCCCAAAAACTAAGGCAGTTTCTCTTCCATCAAAATATTTATTTTATAACCAAGAACATAAAAGTTTAATCACATCCAGTCAAAAGAAATGTCTTATCACAGGCCTGGATGTAGAGAACAAACAGTAAATAAAAAATAATTTTGTATGATCTTTTTATCCCTGTTCCAAAAATCCACAACAAAAAGAAAATATTTGGGCAGAAACTGCACATATGCTTGATGCTGATGGGGATTCTTTTTAATGTGTCAAATTAAATCAAACATATTATTGCACATGTTATCCTCAAACTCCAAAGAAGTCTGCGCGGAGCAAGACAGGAGGAACAGCGGAGGCTGTAGGCTGCTGGCTTTGCTTTGCGAAGGCAGTCTGGATCGCAGCGGGTGGAGCGGTGACGGATGGTGTAGGATTTGGGGGTTAAGCTCCTCTCCTTTTTCCACTTCTTGTTGGTTCCCACTGTTTGTTCCTTGTACCCTAGCTTAAAGTTCTCCCAGTGGTTTACATCTGCTGTGTGCCTTTATTTATTGTTTTGCCTTGCTCCTGTGTCCTCTGTTGTTTTTCAAAGCTTTGAATTGTTTATTAAAGAACCACCAAGATAATTTATTGCTCTGTCATTCTGCATTTTGGTCCTCCCCTAATCATGACAGCAGTAGTAAGTTAGCACCTATAAACAAATAGAGTTCATTGCTATGGCCCATAACTCTAAGGAAAACATCCTCACATTTTTTACAAAACAAAACATAGATTAACCTGAAACAGATTTTAATGTTATTATGTTAATTCCTGGCCTTTCTAAATACTGACTTTTCAAAAAAAAAAAAAAAAAAATAGGAGAAGTCTCAACATTGAGCTGAGAAACAGCTCTGACTCTTGAAATCCTGAACAGGTCTCCACCCCATCACAGGGCAAGCAAGAAACACAAAGGCAACCCAACCAGACACCTTAATAGCTAATAGATATTTACTTTAGAAGTTACAAATCAACTTGGCATTTGGGTTTGTTAAAAGTTATAATTTGTAAACGTTTCTTTGCTTACAGCATTGTTGTTTTTTAGTTCAAGGTTTAAACTGATACGTTGTTGTGTCACTGTGCAAATTGTGTTGTTTGAATATGTGACAAGGCTCACAGTAAAGTTGTGAAATGCTACTTCTTGTTGTTATGGTACCGTATGTTTATCTGCAGTGGAAAATGTAGCTGTGGCTTTTTTCTTCGGTCAAGACTCTCATAGACTGTCAACACTTCCCTTTTCACACCTTTAGTGCTTCCTTTACTCAGGTTAAGCAGCATAAAAAGACATTTAAAAAATGGTTAGCTGGTTTAAACTACTAAAAGCTGCTGTTGGATTGTTACTGGTGCTAATGGAGGTATCTAAGGGTGAGTTGGTAATTTATTTTAATATAGTTTGATAAAAAAAAATTATAATCTAAAATACTTTCACATTTTTTCCAACACTTTCATTGAATAAAATCAAGAAGTAGTTTAAGTTGAGAATTGCCTTAAGACAAATAGAAATTTATCCGACTTGTAACTGGAACTACCATGAATCGAAATGCATAAATGAATTTAGAGTATCCGTCATAGTGCTTCTTGTGTATGTAGTTTTGTCTGCTCTCTATAAGATTTAGTGACTGTTGTATTATGCATCTGAATTATTCATCTTTTGGAGACTAAGCTGAAGCTAAACAAATTTGTTTGCTTTCTCAACTTTTTGCCCCCCAAAATTCTAGTTTGGAGTGATCTAAAATGTTGCTATAAGAAATGATCAGCCTGTCAATTGGGTCATCTTTATTTAACTACGGAAGTAAATGCTTTCAATGTTCAAAATTTATATCCTAAAAGCCTTGGTCCCAGGTGAAGAAAGAAAAAGAAAAACATGCAAAATGTGCTGTATCTATTTAGATTAAGAAAAGTTCTTTTTGTTGTGTCCCTGTTTTTTCATCTTTTCAGTCATCTATGCAGTTCACCCTGCAACGTCAACTAATGTTGCCCCTTTAATGCTTTCTACCTAAGGCAAACAAATCTTACAGAATTCTTTACAGATGGGTCATAAGCTATCCTGAAACATTTTATCTAAAGGGATACCTAATTTGTCGAAGAAATATCAATATCCACAAACATAAATTTTTAGAAGAAATTCTCTTCAGCTTGATACTTGTGAAGATTTTAGATACTTTTCGATCATATATTGCACGGTCTGTAGCCACTGTGAGGTAAAGATTTAAAAGCCCTCTGTTTAAGCTCCTGAAATTTAAGAGGCAAACAGGAAAACTCAGACAGTAGAGTTCCAGAGAATCATCAGATCAGAATCAGAAATACTTTGATAATCCCAGAGGGAAATTACGTCATTTCATTCAGGGCAAAGTAACCCTGTGACCTGTCTTTTCAGAACAAGAAATATTACAATCATTTTTGTCTTTCTTTTTGACAAGTTCGTAAAGTTTAGGCAATTACAGTTTCTGTTTTTATTTTGTATCCTTGCAGGTGCAGAAACTACCTGTGATGGCAGAGAAGATGGAGCTCTGTGTCTTGTACCTTTGGGAGGAACAGTCCTTATCCAGCTGATGAATAATGCCTCAGAAACACCTAGATATAGATTAAAATTGAAAGGAACAATAATTCTTTCGGGTGGAGAGAGTCATTCTTTGCCATTTCTTCTCAAGAACAGATCTCCTTTTTTCCCCAGGAATGGTACATTACGCATAATGAATGTAATCAGAAATGACAGTGGTAATTATACAATGGAAACCTTTAATTCAGATGGAAAAAGTTTGAAGACACACACTCTTCAGTTGATTGCTATAGGTGATTTCTTCCTTCTTTCAGATTAAATTAAATGGATTTATAAAGCTCTAACAATATTACTGTACATCAACACAAATGCTTAATTTAACAGTGATAAGTATATTAGTTTTTGTAATTTACTTAAACTCTACATGGAATAAACAAAAGTTCACTTTTAGCTAATATGGTTTTCATGTGTCAAGGTCACATAGTTAAACCAGCGCAAGAGATTTTATCTCAGCTGACAGGAAGGGGGATTGTCTTAGCTTTTGCCACTGTCCCCATTAATATAAGCATGGTTAGGCTTAGGCTTGTATTATTTTTACATGTATTAAAAAGAGCTTAATCGAACAGTGATATGTATTTTCACATTTTCTGATTCTATTAAAATATTGTTATTGTTTTCAATATAAATATATAAATATACATTTATATTTGTCTCTCCCGAAAGCCCTTTTGGAATAGCTGTAAACTGATTTCAGTTTTTTCTATCTCAGGCAAACATAAAACTGGTTATATGAGTATTTATGCACTTTTAATAGTATTCTAACTTAATAGATACTAAATTAATGCCTTCACTGATACTTTTAGTTCTGCCTATTTCATCCTGTAGATTTGCGAAAAAGCACCACCACATATTATTTTGTGTGAATGCTCCCGTTTTAGAATAAGAATGAGGACCAGTTTAAATTTTAACCTTGGAGTCAGAAAATTTTTACAGAGTCATGACATTTCGGTTGATCCTCACATGCTGTTTATCTAACAGCTAGGAATAAGGCTAAGGTATCAATTTGGTTAAGGTTAGGGTGAGGTACGAACTGTTCGTAGTTAGGCTTAGGCTTGTGATATTTTTACACGTATAAAACAAGCTTAATCATACAGTGATATGTATTTTTCACCTTTTCTGCTTCAATCAAAATACTGTGTTATTGTTTGCATCTTCAAACTAGAAAAACACAAAGATTAAAAAGTTTCCACTTTATTATTAATAAATGTGAAAAAAAAACTTCTCTCTCAGCTCCTGTGTCCTCTGCCCAGCTGGTCCCTGAATGTTTGTCTCAGGGACAGATGAAGGTGTCCTGTCTCTCGGAGGGAGGAGACAGTCCTCAGTACGGATGGACATTGAATGGACACACACTGACAGACTCTGAGCTTCTCTCTGGAAATAATGAGTCTAACATCATCGTTCTGAAGCAAAGCATCTCAGGACATCTGGTCTGCTCAGTCAGGAACCAAGTCAGTGTTTCTTTCAAAAAAATACAATTATCAACCTGTGGTGAGTTTAAAGATGTTGATACACTATGATTAATTCAAAATTTGTAATCATTAAATCTATTGTCTTTCTTTGCTTGTAGGCTTCATATTTATAAACTGCTCTGTGAATGGGACACAAATACCTAGATGGGTACCTAAAGAAAATCAAACCCTGTGTGATGAATCATTCCCTTTATTCATTAAATTTTTCATGGGTAAAGAGTTACATTTAAATCCACAATTTATCACAAATACATCTATAAATCAAATCTAATTGATTGACCTACCTTTGTACAGTAATAAGTTAAATTTTCTACTTTAATTCTGTGGATTTCATATTGAGATTTATTTCCTTTTTATCCAGTGCATAAATCCTATCGATCCATTTCTAATTGTTTTTACGTTTAAACAGAGCCGTGGGCTATAATAGCTGGTGGACTTGGAACTCTACTGATTATCCTATTAGTCATGTTTGCAATCTGCTGTGCCAAGAGAAAGAAAAACAAAAACAAAGGCAATACATTTATTTCTTATTTAAAAATGGAACACTTTGTTCTTTTTGAAAATTGAAGCAATTCAAACATGATCAACAGACTTACTTGCATTATTCTTGCTCTTTTGTAGTGGAGGAAAATGACAGAAAACAGGCTGATGTTAAGGGCAGAAGGCGGAAACTACAAAAGGAGAAAGTTGAAGAAGTCCAAGTGGAGTACGGCCAGGTGAAAAAGAAACGTAGGGTGTCTGATGACATGCTGAACTCAGATGGGGTTGATGTGTATGCAAAGGTCTGCAAAAAGGCTTGATTACATGTCACATGATCAAAGACTAATTAAATGAGGGAGAAGGTGAGGATTTCAAACACAAATATGTTTTTCCTCCTGTTTAAATAAATTTATAAATATGTTATTCAATAATATTAAATTCAGTCCACACAATTACTTTTACTTTCAATTGGTATTTATTTTTAATATCCAATCGATGTGGACAAATGCCTATTTGATGTGGAGTTCCCTGTTTTATCATTTTGCCGCCACAGTAATGCAAGCCAGTTGAAACAAAGCTGACAAACACTGGATAGGTTTACATGGAGATGTTTAAAAAGAGAGACTGTATTTCAAATGGACACATTTGCAAGTCTTCACTGCTTATCTATTGCCCAACTGGTCAGGGATCTTCAAGTGGTGTTTGTATCCCCGAATTGTCATGGCAGATGACCAACAGAGGGAAAAAATTTGCTTGCCTCTGGGTGTTTGGCTATTCTGTTGGCTTTAAAGTGGGCATTCAGAGTAAAGCTCAGCAATGTTAATGTTTATGCATTTGGCAAACAATTTTATCACATATTTTTACAGTATCGCAATGCATACAATGTGAAAACCTGACAAGAAGCTAGGAAGGGCAGAGGTGCCAAAAAGGGGACAATAATAACGATTTCATGGGCTTGTGGTTTACCTGGGCCGAGAGAGATAAAATAATCTGACACTCGCAAATAAACTTAGTCCTACTCAGAAATACATCACTGAGCGCTTTGTTTTTTTATATCCACAACACAAGAAATATTGATTGACTGTGTTTTGCTGGACATTAATATCTATCTTTGTATACAAAAAGCAGGCTCAGAACTGGAGCTTATATAAATCTCCACTGTGGCTGGAGTTTTTGAGAGTAATTTGTTTTAAGAAAAGATTTATGCTGTTAAGGTGTGACTAAAAGGTATAACCCAAATAAAAATGTATTAACTTTCCCAGATATCCTGATATGTGTTGAAACATACTTAGAGTTTAACTTATTTTATTCATAATGTGTTAGGGTATTTGTTATCAATGTGCGATTCTACATCAGACTGGAACAGGAATGTGGGTATCTAGTCTGATACAACTACTGCCTTATTGTTTCCAGATGTGCCTAGATATCATTTTTGAGACTGGTTGGAAAAACCGATTTTCTATACAATCCCTTCATAATATTTTATTTACTTTCTAAAAATGTTCACTCAGGGCTAAACCTGCAAATTTATACAGTAGCTGGGGGAGAGGAGATGTTTTCTTTTCTTTGGAGATTGTTTGAAACAGAAAAATATAGTTCCCATAACAGGCCAGAATTCTTCCCAAGTTTAATTTAACAATTTACTCTTTTATTCAACTTATTTGGATTAACTGTATGTGAAGACCTTTACAGTTTTTTTTTTTTTTGGCTTTAAGGTAGTGAAAGAAACCTTGTCCATATCAGAACAGGGCAGAACATCGAGCCATGTGTTACGATTGTCTTGTTTTCATCTTTGCAAAGATAAATAAGGTGCTGAGTGAATTACCATCAATCTCCTTTTATTTAACCAGATTGCATAGTTGAATACTTTTTTCCTATGACAGATAATCTTGTTACCATGTACAGGGTGGAGAGTGGAAAATGATGTGTGGATGTATTGTGGGTTACAGGCCAAGTGGGGTGGTAGTGAATGAATGTGCTACCCTTATTACCAAGGAGGAGATGAAACAGGACAGCTGCACTTTAATAACTTACTTACAGTGTTGATAGATATATTATTTTTACATGTGTTAGGTTGAAAAATGTAGGTTCATAAAAGAAGGACTGAGTTCACACAGAAAGGGATTCTCAACAACAGCTTCTGCAGAAGGGGAAAGAGCTGCAACCCAACTTTCCAACACTCTTTCCCGGCCCCCCCTCCATCGGCAGTGGCTTTTATAAACAGAACATAACACATGGTTATAAAACAGAGTATTGTTCTGACAGGACAGTTGATCAGGTCATAAGACAGGATGCTCCACTGACTGAATCACAAGACAGAGTTGTGTCCTTGACTGAATCACCAGACAGAGTGGAGCATCTCATTTCTCCAGTGTTTCATATGTACATACATTAATTTTATAATCATCATTGAATAAACCTAACAACATGGTCATCTCTTTTTCTGCCTTTTAATTTTGGTTAGTCCTTTGGCTTAATTTTGTTAGTGTGCTCATAGCCATCTTTTGATAAGTCCTTTGGTCTGACTTCCTTGTATTTATTGCCCTAGTGGTTTATTATGTGCAAATAGAGGTTTATTGTGTGTAAAGAAATTTCTTCAACAACTTGACACAATAGTTGATGTGACGCCACCTTTTCAATCAATCCAGGGTTCAATCTAAAGTGGACAATTGCATAACTTAACCCAAAGCAAAAGGGAGCCAGCGGTTGAAACAATTGCTGCCAAAATAGTGCTGGCATTAAAGAAGGAGCTGGAAAAGGAGGCAACATTCCACTCTGGTGCTTAGCAGCTATAAGGATTCCCACAATCCTTTATGTGACAGCACATATTGGCATGGCCCATATCAGAAAATGTTTATAGTACATTATTCCTAAATATGAACTCTATGTGTAACATGCAAATGTACATATCTTCATGTGCTGTGAGTTTATAAGTGAGTCTCACCAGTTGTGTAACTTGGATTTTTTTTTGTGGTTCTTTTTTGGAAGGGTGTTGTCTGGTATTTGAATCATATATGTAAGGGAGTTTTCAGCCCGCAGTGATAACATAGTTCTTTTCCTACCAGTGATACTTTGATAAAAACTACTACCTGATAAAAAGTTTGTCAAGCATCTTTAGTAAATAGAACAACATTTTCTCTTATACAGCAAATGGAATGTGTTTTGTATCTAACCTTGGTTGAAAAGCAAATAAAATATGTTATATTTCTTGTAACATTTCTAAAAATAATGTATTATATATATGTATTAAATATTGGAAAAAAAATTGGTGCTTTCTGCATTTTTGTGTGACCACTTTGATATACCATTTAGACTGTCGCAAAGTTGTTATAACATAAATCGAAGGTCTAGCATAAAAATAATTAATCATCAGTGCCTACTATCTAGGAGCTGCAATGTCTCATAACACCAAAAAATAATAATGAAAAAAATAATTTAACTTTATTGATCTCACATTGGAGAAATTTAGCTCTGCATTTTACCCATCTTCTTGGGGAGCAGTGTGGGGTTAAGGGTCTTGCTCAGGAACTCAGTATAGAGGCTGTGGGGATCGAACCAGGTACTTGCAACCTTATCAGAGCATAAGTGCACTGTTCCAACCACTTGGCCAACATTCCCCAAAAAGTAGCCTACATGTATATTTACAATTTACTACATGTTTATATATATATATATTTTTTTAATCAAATTACATAACTTTATGCTACACTATGTGCCCTTATAAAAATTTGTTTACCCCATTATGCTGGGTGTTTGAAATTGGAAATCAAATTACCTTTTTTTACTGAATTTCTGATTAATTTGTTTAATACTTATCTGAACACACAGAAGCATTTAATTAGGAATTGCAATTTTATTTTAGATAGCTGATCCCTTAACCTAAACGTGAACAAGAAGGCAAAGTTCTGATGGGGCAGAATACGGTGACTTTTACATCCCTGATTCAAATATACAATCAGGACATCAAAATCCCCACAGAAACATCCCAGACAAAACATGAATGAATGAAATATTTGATTATTTTATTTATGGTAAGTGTCATGCTCACACATTGGCCCAGGGCATATAAGCCCACATGGGTTTATAAGACACTACAAACATAAAAAGGAAGTTGAACTTAGATTTAACATATTTCAGACTAACCAGTTGTTTTATAATGTAACAGGGCACAAAGTTTTCAATCTTAGTTTCCAGGTTTACTCCACATATCAAGCTACACAACATATTCCATTTATAAACAACAACCAACATTTCACCTTCAGCCAAAATAGATCAGGATTATTGTGTTGTTTTTTTATTTCAAATAAATAATGACCCACTTTGACCTCTAGCGGCAGCACTCCAGCTCAGAACTATGCACAGACACCACTGTCCTCTTTTCAAATTACATAAAAAAAAAAGCTCAATAGAAAAGCAGTCTTTAAATTCAACATAGGTTCTTTATTTAGGTTCATTTATCAACTCATTTTTTCCACTGTTCCTTACAGCTATCATATATGGTGAAAAGATTTGGGATTCTGAAAAGGAGGACACCTTTTTCTTTGGGGGGAGCAAAAACCTGACCCGGAGACGGTATGGTTCATACGGCCGCTGGTGTCCAGGCTGGTTTTTCCTTGTGTGCTTTTTGTCATGAACCGCCAAGGACAGATGAACCCAGTATTCAAGGAGAGACAGTCAGTAGGAAAGTTCAAAACATTAAACAAAACAAAAGCAGAGCTGTGGCTTGCGGACACTGCTGGCGGGGGGGCGGGGCACCGCCCAATCTCAGACACTCTGTAGTGGGAGAAACAC